GGAGAGAGGGAAGGAGGGAGAGAGAGAGAAGGAGGGAGAGAGAGAGAAGGAGGGAGAGAGGGAAGGAGGGAGAGAGGGAAGGAGGGAGAGAGAGAAAAAAGGAGAGGGAGAGAGGCATAGAGAGACAGAGACAGAATGATATGGTGAGCCAGAGAGAGCGATCGAGGAGGAGGGAAAGAGAGGGGGAGGCAGAAACAGAGAGAAAGGACAAAGGCTGACCCCAGGGGAGGGACAGGCCCTTGGCAAGCTCGCCACCATCCTCTGACAGGTGTGGTGGATAGAGCCCCCCTTTCTACATAACCCCCCTGATCTCAGAGGACTTTTATTCCTGCCAGGAGGAGAGCATCAGTCACCCTGCACTGTCAGGGCAGAGAATCAAGCTTCAGATGCCACTGTTACTCTTGGGAGAAGTCCAAGGATTCACCCTAACCTCAGTGAGCCTGGGGGCGTCATCTGAGTATTAGCTGGGTGGGCTGAACAGTGAGGCCAGTCAGGTGGCCCCAGTCACAGAGACTGGAGCCTTCCAGCGCCTGGACCTCGGAGGGATCCCAACTCGGCTTCTGTCCTGCTGGGACCTCCCACCAGGGCCCACGTGGCCAGGTCAGCCCCTCGTGGCACTGATAACAGTCCTTCATTCGTGTGGGTACTGGCCCCATGCCATCCTCTTAGAACAGAGGCACTGGGAAGACCAGTTTCCTCCTCTGTGCCTTGAATAGGGGCTGGGGCAGGTTATAGGGTTTTAGTAATTGTTGAACGAGTGACAGGGCCCAGTGGGTCCCAGTCCAGCACAGTGATGGGGCAGACCTCAATCCAAACATGGACTAAGTCCCCCTCTCAAGGGGTCTTGGCTGTCCCCTGCCCTACGGGGCCAAGTTGGCCACCTCAAGCAGAGCCCTGGCAGGAGGAACCAGTAACCGCCTGCCCACCAGACTACCTCCTGCATGTCCAAAGACAGTCCTGGGCGGGTCCCTTGCTCACCCAGGGTTTAGTTCTGCGTAGATCTGAAACCACCCTCAGCCAGAGGGAGGCAGCACTCACCCCAAGGGCCCCCAGCGTTTGTGTCTCACATTCAGGTGACGGTTCTGACAGTGATTGCTGTGCTGTGTATGTAAGTAGGAGGAGATCCGCCTCCTACTTACATACACATCCTTGAGTGCCCACCTCCAGACCCATGCTCAGCACCGGGAAATGTCCTGGCTGCACTTTCCCTACTGTCCTGTGAGGTGCCCAGGGGCAGGCGCTTGCCACTGGCAGGAGCAATAACGAAACAGCTATGGGCTGTGTCACCAGAAAAGTAAACCCTCAGGGCCAGGCCACTAGTATGGGGCCATCATGGGAGAAGACGTTTTCCAAAGTGCTGAGTTAGAACCCTATCTTACCCTCTTTCTCTCCTTCCCTTCCTTACATCTACTACCACTCATTACCCTGCTTGCCCATTCATCTTACCCATCATTCATTCATTCGTCCACCATCTATCCACCTATCCATCCACCCATCCATCCAACTACCATCTACCCATTCAGTCATCCATCTACTCATCCACTCATTCACCCAACCAATACCCACCCACCCATCCATCCATCTACCCACCCACCCATCCATCCATCCATACACTCATCCACCCATCCATCCATCCATCTACCCACCCACTCATCCATCCATACACTCATCCACCCATCCATC